ACTCTGAATGAAATTTGTCTTTCGCGCCACAAGCAACGCAGGTTGGCAAGTCTTACTCGCACTCCTGTAACCGTCACGAAGAGACTGGATCTTACCCTGGTGTGGCGATTTGCTTATCTCGGCGATCCATTGAGCTATACTGAACGGTGTCCACGTGACACTCACATAGTCTATCATACCTGGTTGGCCAATGGCTAGGGGTCTGACGAACACAGTCTCCTGGCCCTCCAGGTTGGGGGTTGGAACAGGTGTGGCGACTTGTTCTATAAAAAATGGTAGTGAATTTCCCGCCAAACACCGTTGCCTTGCGATCGGGCTTTCGAACAAGACTTTGTTTTAGGACCCCAATCGTCCAGGTGGTATCCCATCTCATCCCAACCATGACGTTTACATTTAACATTACTCCCATGCCACATCAACAGCCGCGTGGTGCCATCAGCCAGGTCGCCTTACTGGCTACATACAGCAGGGCGGGTAAGCGAAAACATGATACTGTTGACACAACCCATCTTACACTTTCAGGCTTTCTATCTTCCACCCTCCCCTACCCAAATTTGAATACTTTCTCCGCAGGTCCCAGCTCTAGAACTGGCTGTTTTGCTCGCCCTTCATCACACTCAGCTGCAGCTTCTGCACGTACGAGTGCAGTCACAACCCTAAACACTTCGAAGTCTGTTTTCAAACCTCGAAAGCCTGTCTACTTAGCCACCTTCAATGTTCGCGCATTGTCGAAAGCAAGTCAACAGGTGGCTCTTTCTCGTACGCTGGATTTTCCGTGTATTGATGTACGTTGTCTGTCGGAAACAATGATGCAAGGCACAAGTGCTATGATCGAACCGACTACCCCCTCGCTCTCCTCCAGGTTCCGGCTGCGCACCTCTGTTGATGCACAGGCCACTGCAGCTGGGCATGACGGATTGGGTATTGTATTGAGCGACTGAGCGGAAGCGCCTCTGCTTGATTGGATACTCATTGATAGTCACCTGTGCGCGGTTCGTTTGACAACATCTGTGAGAGAATCTAGAGGACGTGAGGTCCATCGCACCCTGTTTATTGTGTCTGCTTACGCCCCAACTGACTGTAGCTCTGAATTTGCCAAAATCAGTTTCTGTGACGCTCTAGGTGCCCTTCTACAGCAGGCTAAAAGCTCAGATATAGTTCTAGTTGCTGGTGACATGAACGCCCAGGTAGGTCGACTAAGCGCTTCTGATGCCCGATTGGGTGGTCGTCTTGGTTTGGACACAAGACACACGGACAACGGAGACCGGTTACTTCAGATTTGTGCCGATCACAGACTGTTCCTTTACGGTGCGAATTTCCAGAACAGTGGAAATCGCTTGACAACGTGGTGTTCACCGACAAACTAACAACGAATCCAAATAGACCACATCGCCATCAGTTACTGGTGGCGAGGGTCGATCATCGCCTGCCGGTCCTTCCGAAACACCAGCGTGGACTCCGACCATGCGCTTGTACGCTGCTGCTTTTCAGGTGTACGCAAAACGCGTACACCTCGCTTAGCCATTGAGAAGCTGGTGGTCCCAGAAGTCAAACGAAACTATCAGAATCAGCTCCTCGAACGCCTTTCTGAAGGTACGGTGTCGGATATAAACGACCACTGGGAAAAAATATCCAAAGCGCTACTCAAGGCCGGAACGTCAGTTTGCGATACAACCCAGCCAACCCCATCCAAGCATTGGATCTCTGATAGGACCATGTCTTTGCTGGAAACCCGGCGACAGACTCCACCTGGTCGCCACAACTCCATCTGGCGCATCATCCGACGCCAGGTGAAAATGAGTGTCCGCGCGGACCGAGAAGCTTGGTAGACCCGAAAGACCGAAGAAGTGGAAGATGCAGAGAATGATGGAAACGTGCGCAAGCTGTTCTACTTGATTCGTTCGACTGGTCCTCGGAAACCTCTTGTCAGCGAAATAATCAGGGACCAAAATGACCTCCTGATATGCAACAAAGCAGAACATTTGGACCGCTGGGCACAGTATTTCGAGCAGCAATTCAGCTGGCCATCTGCTACCTCCAATCCAGAAACCTGGTCTTCAACAGAAAGGTGAACCGTAAATATGGAGCTTCCTCCAGTCTCAGAAGTGTTCAAATGTATTTCTCTACTCAAGCGTCATCGTGCCGCTGGTCCTGACGACCTTCCACCTGCTCTTTTCAGGGATGGCCGTGGATTCCTCAGTCAGTGCCTGTCTACCCTATTTGGGAGGAGGTCGTCCCAGACAACTGGGAAAAATTGATGGTGGTGCCCATTTTCAAAAAGGGTACTCGCAGTGAATTTAGTAACCACAAAGGTGTTAGTTTGACGCCTGTTGTGACAAGACTTCTGGCGTCACTGATTCTTCGTTGTCTTACGTGAGCACCAAGCAAGATTCGAGCGGGTATGTTCAACTTCATCTTTGTTGATGAACAGTTTACAGGTTGTGTTCTTGGTATAAGCAGCAATCATATGGTTGCCTATAAGTCCATCAACAATCCACTACCGGTTTTCTTTCCTGAGCCTTACCAGGTGGCCATTGTCGTCGAGCTTCTGTCGGTAAACGTTAGGTGATTCCTAGTTGTAGTTTGCCTACCTTTTATTGTACATTTCGTGAAAGCCTTCAAGATGTCGCACAGAACCGATTCCACTAGTGCACGTAGCCCACTCTCTAGTTATATACTGCATGTCGCCTTGTGTTTGATGATGTTCGCTAAAGATGCTGTACAGATCCTAGTGGGCAAATCCTAGCGTCACTTTAGCATACTTCAAACGTTTCATTTATGTACTATTCTAAGATGTTTTTGTAGGATACCCTTGAATACTTCAGCCATTTACCCCGAGGACTTTTTCATGAACACTTTTCACTCCTTTCAGTATTTAACTGGGCCTTCTTTTTTGATTGTTTGAGAGCTGAATGTCATTTGTTTGAACCAATGAACTAGGGCTGTTGGTGATAGTTATCCAAGATAGGTGTACATTTCGATCGTAATTAAGCGAAGATTAATCACCTCTCATGTACAGCCTCCGAAACATAACCTTGGCTGGATGCAGAAGAGAAAGTCCGGAAATGTACGGTTGGTGGGTGGACCGTTAACCGCCTTGATAACTGATCTTATATAAGATCGTGACGACAGGTTTGCCCTCTGTGTCATAACTTCAGCGAGTGTTGCATGAGCAGCAAATTTAGCCATTTTGGATATTTTGAATGACGGATTCCCTTGTTCAGATGGATGATTACGGCAAAGACTGATATCTTCTGTTGGCCCCTGGAAGATACTGTGTTCCCAACTTTTAGGACTGACTGTCCAAGCCATCCAAATCGAACTCCAGATATTGTCAAGATCCACATCTGTTACAGTTCTTTCTAGAGAAGGCGTACCGACAACAAGAGACTGAGGTAGCGCACGCAGAACCCTCACACAGCATAATCGGGAAGAATGGCAGACATCTCGGGTATACTGCGGAGTACAAAGTGATGGAAAGGTTTTCTGCTTCGGCAGACAACTGTGCCTTATTTCGGCTTATTTAAGGTGGTGGTCAGAGAATGAGAGGTAGCGAAACGATTATTGGGAAAGAGAGAACATCAAATCCTTTGCAAAAATTGTTGGTTTGGAAGATGAGTTGACCACTTCGAAGAGCGATTCCACTAGACTTCTTCAAAACACTGGAGAAGCTCAGTGAACCTGGATGAAAAGTTGACACCGAACTCGTTTCTCATCAGCAACAGAAATTCAGTACAAGCTTTCATTCTACCAGTGCGACAAAGCACTCGATTCGCTTGATTTGTTCTTTGTGCGCTTTGGAGGTGATGAAGCTCCGGTGAACAGGCTGGTGACCGTACTAGAAACTGTTTGGAACAAAAGCAGAGCTCCGGTAGATTGCAGCCGTTCGGCCATGATCCACTCTTCAGGAAGCGGGCAAGGACATAGTGTAAAACCCATCGTGACACCAGTCTGGTGGCCGTAATCAAGATCCCTTCTGACATTCTGCAGGTTGATAGGTTACTGTGATAGAAAAATGTCGTGGCGCAGGTAGATTAAAAATATCTCCACTTTGAGATAGGTGCTTCATGGTAATCACTCTTTAAAACGCCCAACGGTGGTCAGTTTCTCGCGATTTATTACCTTTCTTGACTCTCAGTCATCAGAAACTATAGCAGTATTGGGTGATCAGGGTTGCCACCTCCAATTATTACCGTGTGAAGGTTCTGAATGTAGATATTCATACAACTTGATGCTGAACCTCCGCCTGAGTTCATCAGCATTGTCCAACCAATCACTGCCGTTCAGTAGATCACCGTCGTTTTGAAGACCAGTTTGGTATGGCCTATTGCTGTCAAATCCGATATCCATTGTTTGGGTCTTTCGACAGTTTACAGTGTTCGTCGCTAAAAAACATTGGTGCATATAAATGAGTGCAGACCTTACCACTGGCGCCGCGCACGTATAGCCATACTGCTTGTACATGAGGAATCGCGTCATCTTACCGCGGGAGCCGGTCAGAAGTAAGGGGCCACCTAAAGCATTCACTTCACCAACTAACATGATTGACAGATGTTCACCAGAACGATGATCGAACGGTATCTCCCATCGGTTGTTAGAGACTTTCCGCTGCTGAGATCCGTCATAGTCAACAACTACCGTGTCCGGACCATCTGGCCGACCTACTAGGAAAATTTTGCTTTCAATTTTCTGCCTATATGACTTTTTATGGCTCAGTTTTACGAGTCCTCTCACTCCCATATTTCGCAGTATTTCGTCTATGATTATCCAGTTCTAAAAGAGGGATGACTATCAAGAATAATAAAGGTGGCTATAGCAGAGATGTGGTTGGGTCCCGAAAACGTTCTCTTATTTGGGCCCACGAAGTGGGCTTGATCCTTTGACCACTGGCTTCAGGCTGTTTGTGAAAACGGGGACATTTGTGCCCACTTTCCAGTGTGTGTTCGAAATACAGTGCTCCAGCGATGGGTTAACTAATTGCTTTCACCTTTTTTGTTTAGGTAAAAAAGAAATGGGAGAATTTGGTTTCTACTACAAAACGAAAGATCCGTGCGGGGCATGTGACTCCGGAATTAGACTGGAATGAAACGAACTCAACCATTGTCGAATTCCTGGCGCAACACAGTCCTCTAATTAAACTTCGCTATGCCAATGCCTGGGCTCAATCGCAGTTTGGTTCCTACGGTTTTCCTACTTCTGGCCCTTCTCACTCAACTAATGCGACATTTAACCAGGACGGTACCCTGACACCTGATGAGACCACTCAAGCTTCGGTTAAATGCGAGCCAATGGTCCTGGCGAACTGCGTGGATCCTGCGTCCAATCGCGATCGAACATCCCAAAGTGATGTTGAAGGAGGTACTGACAACTCCAGTTGTGGCCGGGATATGGACTCAATGAGGACAAGTAGAGAGTAAGTGGTGAATGACCAATAGCCTCATTCAAATACTGAATTTTCCGTATTCATGTTCAAGTCGGCTTCATCTTTGTCTAATCAAATTTCACTGCAAATCCGTTATAGTTTGCTATTACATTACTTGGCCGTGCTTAACCAATGGCCAGCATACTTGGTTCCCTGGAAATTCCGGGTCTTTAAGTACATGGACTATTTGGAATGAGAACCATGGGTGATCAAAGTTCATCTGAACTGATCGATATCTCGTCATTATAGGGTCATATGCGCGTGTTCCTAGTACGCAGTATACCGTTTGCGGAGATGACGGAAACTGGGCAAGAAGACTGAACAGTTTTGCGTATGGGACGAAGAGAGCGATAGTTCATGGCTTGTATGTCTGCAGGGATGCCATCTTCACTAAAGGCTTCGCGGTTTTTCAGCCTATCGAATGCTTAGGTTTGTTCTTCTTTCACTAGATGGCCGCATTCTTGGTCCTACAGCGAAGCCGAGGACTCAATGATGAGTGAAAACGCATGGGAATGCGTGCGATGGAGCGATTGTTTGAAATGTTCCGTTCTCTATAGAGGAAAATGTCGGTAGCTCAGGTAGCGAAGATGGTCGTTGGCTTGTTCGCTGAGCTGGGCAGTTCGATTGCAAACGTTTCATCACCTCGACCGCATGCTGCGCCCTGAGATCCAATCCGTTTTTCAAAGTGTTGTACTACTCAGGTAGCTAGTAGCGGACCAACTATACGTACTTAATGCGGAAACTATGGGAAATCACATACGACAATTCCCATTTGACAGCTGCATAAAAACAATTGACCTGATCTTGACCAAGGCCGTACGCATGGCACGTGATAAAGGTGGTAGCAGCGTAAACAAAGTTGATTGAAAATGTTACGTGTACTTTCACTGATCAAACTAAGCGAAGCGGCTGAAACTTTACTCAAGCAAAGTGGAGATGCTACAAATACTCCTCCCCTTAGGAGAAATGATTTAGAGAAAAATAAAATAAAAGAAGTGTATCAAGCAGCGATGTAGCTCACAGGCCAGTGAACGCGACGACCCGGGCGGATGATGCGTTGTCTTTTCGCTGTACCAGCCGTTGATTTACTTGACGTGGCGTCCGATGGGGTTCCTCTGTCCCGAAATTTGCTTTCGAATGGAGAAAGGTTTCGGGTAAACCCTTACATCAGTACCAATGAACCGGAAACTGGAAGTTTGTCCAATATGGTTAGTCGGCGAGTGTTGTGGAAACGGCCGTAGACCGTACTCACCTCTATTGTCCGACCGAACACTTTCCGAAAGGTGGCATTGGAGAACGTGTTGGTGGGCGAAATGAGCAAGGTTTAGCACACTTGCGAACAAAATGTTCAAACGTACTACGATACCAGCAAAATATCGATTGGTGATTTAGGTGAGTTGAACCGGATGCTGGAGTTATGGCACCGGTACAGATACCGCCGAAAAAACTGGACGACTGAAACCGATGGCGGTTATCTGTTTGTCTAAAGCATCCAACCGAGCAGACAACGTGAAATTCATGGTTGACGCCTCAAGGTTGACTGGACTTGGCTGAATCTCATGAACGCAAGTTGTGGTAGTGTTATATTATCGACATCGAACACGAGGATAGATTGCACATAGCTGGGTAGGCGCTTAAGATAACTCTGTTCAGGCAAGGCATCGCCTAATTCACGACCACCGAAAATGCTACATAAACGCGCAAAAATTGTGAGGGAGTGGAACCGTCTAGTGTTTCACTGCTAAAAGCTGCTCTAACCGTTTGTGCGCGGAAATGCTAGTGCGACTGCTTAATGTACACCGAAGTTGAGGGTAAATGGCTTCTGGCGCAGTAACAATATCGCGCAAGTTCGAGACGACCTCTGGTGGAAGAATGATCAATACATGCTAATACTCGGGAGTGCAAATGGGCCTGAACACGAGTAAACCTGATACGAAGATCATGACGCCAAAAAGGTGGTAGATCTACTTGGGCGGCTTTGAAAAGGCTCAAAACGGTTTAATTAGAGGAGGCAAGTGAAGTACGCATGTTATCATTGAAGATATCAATGTATGGATTACAGTATTGTCGAAAATCAATGGAAGCGCGAAAATTTCCACTTACTGTTTTCTGAAGGTATTTTTGTAGGTCAAATGCATCGTATTTCGCACACCCCTGATCCTGGTTGTCAAACCTAGAATGAATTATTTTACCACCGAAAGCTACGCAAAATGTGATTTTTTGTAAAGGCTTACTACAAGTAGATCCTATCATGCTCCATCATGAGCTGGTAATTACACCTAAGTTTGGTCGTCAAGCCGGCTCTTCAAGGTATAACAAGATCGGTTATTCTGATGGTGTAAATGCGGGGAAACGCCAAGATGCTGGCGTCTAGGTTCAACCGGTTTCAACTGCTGTCTGAGCAGTTCACGGGCTTACATAACGAATAGGTGGGCTGAAATTATTCTGTTGTTGGACTGTGTTCTAATAGATGAGCGTGACAACTGCTCTATCAGGGAATCTAGATCTACAACTTTGTCGCAGATAATGTTTTCCCGGAAAACAAATCTGTAGTCAAACAGCTTAAAGGAGGGTGAAACAGCAAACAGCTAGTAAAAAAAAATATGGTGATTTTAGTACCACGAGAAAAGTCATCGAATATCTACTTCGGTTAGTGGGATTCTGCGGAAAAGCCTCTGTTAAGGGCCTCCAGGTTATTGGCTATAGTGCGACAAATGCGATCAGATGTAGGTGACATATTTTGTAATCTATCACATGTTAACTATATAGTACCTTATCACAGAACTCGTAAAAATTGAATATCTGGATTAAGGTTAGATCTTGTTATCATGTAACCCTAGAAGGGCTAGTCAATCCGTCCGGATAGGACCGCTTTGATCAGGTCCACGAGCAATTTTTTTGGGGGAGGGGGCTGTACTGGTCAAGTAAAAATAACGGAAGCTGTCTGAGAAACCAGAAACTAAAAAAAGTAAATTATTTTGTGAAAACAGTCAAATGGCAGTTACTTGAGGAGTGGGTTATCGAATTGAAGAGTTAAACAACTGATGCGCTTCGTAAAATATGTGTGGCAGTCGTGTATTGAACAACACTGACCTCGTATGAGTTACGACACCGCCTTCGTCACGAAGGCTGGTCAACACGAAGGAAATTGTATTGAACAACACTGACCTCGTATGAGTCACGACACCGCCTTCGTCACGAAGGCTGGCTAATTGGTCAACACGAAGGAAACCAAAGCTTTGTAACGGGATCGTGCAAATCTGAGTACAGTAAGCCTTCCTGGAACACTACGACTCTGTTACTTTCGTGATGTTTCCAGGATAATAGTCTAGTTAATTGAACTGTATTTTACGGTAACGAACTGCAATTCCTTCAGACCACCAGAGGGACTTGTATGTTATCTGGACTTTTACGTCTGCTTCCTACGATCCAATCAGCACAGTGTTTCATATTCCATAAAACGTGGTTGAAAAGTGCGCTTTCAACCTCTCCTTACACTGAGGCTGAATTCTCGTAGGTGCACGGGGAAACAGAAGCATTTCAAATAACCGATACTTTGGGTGAGTACCATGACCTTGTGGTAGAACGTGGCTCGGCTAGTATGGGGTGTGGGATGATCCGTTTTGTGTTTGTAGTAATTAAATCTAAGGCTGTAAAGCACTGTCAATTTGGGGATCCCGCCAAGGGCTGTCTGAATTTGTTGGACGATGCTTTCCTCAGGTGAATGTATCTTATCGACGCAGTTGGCTATGGACGGTGTTAATCTACAGGGATTGGTTTTCGGTAGAAATTTATTGATGCCATTCTGTTAAACAAGGGTTTACTGGTAGTTATCCGTAGGTCACCAAACAGGCTCACTCTAATGGAACTCAAGATACTACATGCTACCTTGGTAAATCGGTGCCTGGAATATGCTGTGACCATTGTACGGCTCACTCTCGTAATGCCACTCCAGGACGGTACCCTGACACCTGATGAGACCACTCAAGCTTCGGTTAAATGCGAGCCAATGGTCCTGGCGAACTGCGTGGATCCTGCGTCCAATCGCGATCGAACATCCCAAAGTGATGTTGAAGGAGGTACTGACAACTCCAGTTGTGGCCGGGATATGGACTCAATGAGGACAAGTAGAGAGTAAGTGGTGAATGACCAATAGCCTCATTCAAATACTGAATTTTCCGTATTCATGTTCAAGTCGGCTTCATCTTTGTCTAATCAAATTTCACTGCAAATCCGTTATAGTTTGCTATTACATTACTTGGCCGTGCTTAACCAATGGCCAGCATACTTGGTTCCCTGGAAATTCCGGGTCTTTAAGTACATGGACTATTTGGAATGAGAACCATGGGTGATCAAAGTTCATCTGAACTGATCGATATCTCGTCATTATAGGGTCATATGCGCGTGTTCCTAGTACGCAGTATACCGTTTGCGGAGATGACGGAAACTGGGCAAGAAGACTGAACAGTTTTGCGTATGGGACGAAGAGAGCGATAGTTCATGGCTTGTATGTCTGCAGGGATGCCATCTTCACTAAAGGCTTCGCGGTTTTTCAGCCTATCGAATGCTTAGGTTTGTTCTTCTTTCACTAGATGGCCACATTCTTGGTCCTACAGCGAAGCCGAGGACTCAATGATGAGTGAAGACGCATGGGAATGCGTGCGATGGAGCGATTGTTTAAAATGTTCCGTTCTCTATAGAGGAAAATGTCGGTAGCTCAGGTAGCGAAGATGGTCGTTGGCTTGTTCGCTGAGCTGGGCAGTTCGATTGCAAACGTTTCATCACCTCGACCGCATGCTGCGCCCTGAGATCCAATCCGTTTTTCAAAGTGTTGTACTACTCAGGTAGCTAGTAGCGGACCAACTATACGTACTTAATGCGGAAACTATGGGAAATCACATACGACAATTCCCATTTGACAGCTGCATAAAAACAATTGACCTGATCTTGACCAAGGCCGTACGCATGGCACGTGATAAAGGTGGTAGCAGCGTAAACAAAGTTGATTGAAAATGTTACGTGTACTTTCACTGATCAAACTAAGCGAAGCGGCTGAAACTTTAATCAAGCAAAGTGGAGATGCTACAAATACTCCTCCCCTTAGGAGAAATGATTTAGAGAAAAATAAAATAAAAGAAGTGTATCAAGCAGCGATGTAGCTCACAGGCCAGTGAACGCGACGACCCGGGCGGATGATGCGTTGTCTTTTCGCTGTACCAGCCGTTGATTTACTTGACGTGGCGTCCGATGGGGTTCCTCTGTCCCGAAATTTGCTTTCGAATGGAGAAAGGTTTCGGGTAAACCCTTACATCAGTACCAATGAACCGGAAACTGGAAGTTTGTCCAATATGGTTAGTCGGCGAGTGTTGTGGAAACGGCCGTAGACCGTACTCACCTCTATTGTCCGACCGAACACTTTCCGAAAGGTGGCATTGGAGAACGTGTTGGTGGGCGAAATGAGCAAGGTTTAGCACACTTGCGAACAAAATGTTCAAACGTACTACGATACCAGCAAAATATCGATTGGTGATTTAGGTGAGTTGAACCGGATGCTGGAGTTATGGCACCGGTACAGATACCGCCGAAAAAACTGGACGACTGAAACCGATGGCGGTTATCTGTTTGTCTAAAGCATCCAACCGAGCAGACAACGTGAAATTCATGGTTGACGCCTCAAGGTTGACTGGACTTGTCTGAATCTCATGAACGCAAGTTGTGGTAGTGTTATATTATCGACATCGAACACGAGGATAGATTGCACATAGCTGGGTAGGCGCTTAAGATAACTCTGTTCAGGCAAGGCATCGCCTAATTCACGACCACCGAAAATGCTACATAAACGCGCAAAAATTGTGAGGGAGTGGAACCGTCTAGTGTTTCACTGCTAAAAGCTGCTCTAACCGTTTGTGCGCGGAAATGCTGGTGCGACTGCTTAATGTACACCGAAGTTGAGGGTAAATGGCTTCTGGCGCAGTAACAATATCGCGCAAGTTCGAGACGACCTCTGGTGGAAGAATGATCAATACATGCTAATACTTGGGAGTGCAAATGGGGCCTGAACACGAGTGAACCAGATACGAAGATCATGACGCCAAAAAGGTGGTAGATCTACTTGGGCGGCTTTGAAAAGGCTCAAAACGGTTTAATTAGAGGAGGCAAGTGAAGTACGCATGTTATCATTGAAGATATCAATGTATGGATTACAGTATTGTCGAAAATCAATGGAAGCGCGAAAATTTCCACTTACTGTTTTCTGAAGGTATTTTTGTAGGTCAAATGCATCGTATTTCGCACACCCCTGATCCTGGTTGTCAAACCTAGAATGAATTATTTTACCACCGAAAGCTACGCAAAATGTGATTTTTTGTAAAGGCTTACTACAAGTAGATCCTATCATGCTCCATCATGAGCTGGTAATTACACCTAAGTTTGGTCGTCAAGCCGGCTCTTCAAGGTATAACAAGATCGGTTATTCTGATGGTGTAAATGCGGGGAAACGCCAAGATGCTGGCGTCTAGGTTCAACCGGTTTCAACTGCTGTCTGAGCAGTTCACGGGCTTACATAACGAATAGGTGGGCTGAAATTATTCTGTTGTTGGACTGTGTTCTAATAGATGAGCGTGACAACTGCTCTATCAGGGAATCTAGATCTACAACTTTGTCGCAGATAATGTTTTCCCGGAAAACAAATCTGTAGTCAAACAGCTTAAAGGAGGGTGAAACAGCAAACAGCTAGTAAAAAAAGTATGGTGATTTTAGTACCACGAGAAAAGTCATCGAATATCTACTTCGGTTAGTGGGATTCTGCGGAAAAGCCTCTGTTAAGGGCCTCCAGGTTATTGGCTATAGTGCGACAAATGCGATCAGATGTAGGTGACATATTTTGTAATCTATCACATGTTAACTATATAGTACCTTATCACAGAACTCGTAAAAATTGAATATCTGGATTAAGGTTAGATCTTGTTATCATGTAACCCTAGAAGGGCTAGTCAATCCGTCCGGATAGGACCGCTTTGATCAGGTCCACGAGCAATTTTTTTGGGGGAGGGGGCTGTACTGGTCAAGTAAAAATAACCGAAGCTGTCTGAGAAACCAGAAACTAAAAAAAGTAAATTATTTTGTGAAAACAGTCAAATGGCAGTTACTTGAGGAGTGGGTTATCGAATTGAAGAGTTAAACAACTGATGCGCTTCGTAAAATATGTGTGGCAGTCGTGTATTGAACAACACTGACCTCGTATGAGTTACGACACCGCCTTCGTCACGAAGGCTGGTCAACACGAAGGAAATCAAAGCTTTGTAACGGGATCGTGCAAATCTGAGTACAGTAAGCCTTCCTGGAACACTACGACTCTGTTACTTTCGTGATGTTTCCAGGATAATAGTCTAGTTAATTGAACTGTATTTTACGGTAACGAACTGCAATTCCTTCAGACCACCAGAGGGACTTGTATGTTATCTGGACTTTTACGTCTGCTTCCTACGATCCAATCAGCACAGTGTTTCATATTCCATAAAACGTGGTTGAAAAGCGCGCTTTCAACCTCTCCTTACACTGAGGCTGAATTCTCGTAGGTGCACGGGGAAACAGAAGCATTTCAAATAACCGATACTTTGGGTGAGTACCATGACCTTGTGGTAGAACGTGGCTCGGCTAGTATGGGGTGTGGGATGATCCGTTTTGTGTTTGATTAAATCAAATCTAAGGCTGTAAAGCACTGTCAATTTGGGGATCCCGCCAAGGGCTGTCTGAATTTGTTGGACGATGCTTTCCTCAGTGTGTCTTATGCTTCTAAAAAAATATAGTTATGAATGATCATTTTACAATGAGCTCTGAGTTCGGACAACTTTCCCCTGTCGAACCTCTAGATAAATTCGTGTTAAAACAATAAGGGGCACCGTTATATCATTACACAGAGTGTTTTCAGCATCGAATGACTAGTTCAGTGGACTTCGATATTTTATAATATTCTGTCAGTGACGCTTATGAAGTGGTGCAAATTCTTCGGCGACTTGTGGCCGGATATATCTCTCATGACATTGCTTCCATAGGCTTCGAAAAAACGTGGCGTAACTTCTGGACCTACGTTTGATTTACTTAGGTTGGCTTAGTTTGAGAGAGTTTCCATTTCGTTTAGTCTCGGCTGCTCCACTTCAAAGGTTTTCCTGTCTTCTCATACTGTAGCGAAACGCCGAAGTTCCCGATCGGATGTTCTGCCATTATTGCGACTAACCAATATGTAATCTTACCAGCCTGATCTACCAGGTGACTTTTCACTGGGTACCTTCAACTCCTGGTTCCTGTGTCCCTTGAATGACTGAAAATTGAAACTGTTTAATTTTTCCATGAATCTGTCCTACCCATTCTCAATTCACAATCGCCATTTTACAACCAGCAACAACACTTTCTGTGCACACCCCCCCCCCCCCCTGGAATCTCTCGTCATTTATTAGCATCACTAGTGCACACTTTTAGATTTGCCGAAGCCAACCGGCACGGTCAAACGAAGCCAAACACCACCCTAACCAGAACCGATTTAACGAGCGAGGGTCTAACTGAGACACGCCGTATTTCCTCGCATATCGACGATCCACAACATATAGACTGTATTGAGAGCAGTTAGGTTGCGTGGATAAGTTAAATTCGTCTAGATGATTCCAGTAAACATTGACTATGGGCTGAAAGTGGCCTAGTCGCTCTAATACTATCATCCCCAGTAGCGCGCTTGCCCCTTATCACGTCTCCACGCAATCTAATTACCTTACGCCCTAAAGTTGAAGGATCGAACTGAAAGGAAATTTCCTTCCTCTGGATGAACTTTTCTGGTTGGGGGCAGTTCGGTTTGTTTGTTGTCACAGTTTTGACTAGAATCTGCACTGCATTCAAGCTACTGCGTGATCTTTTTACTTTGTCACTATCCCCTATTATTTCCAACAAGATTCCAAACGCCGACCGGGCTGCAGAATTCTCCTGCGGCTTCTGGAACCAGCTCCATCAACAGTCATTCACTCTTGTCAGCGAATCCATTCCGTTTATCGGCTCCTGGGCCTGGTTTGAGTGAACCTTCCTATCTGTGGAATTGCGGACCTGAAATTCAAAGGCAGTTGCAGGAACACCTAAACAGGGAGCATTCGATGCGACTGGAAATACTCAGTTTGCAAAAGCGCGCTTGGGAGTTACAGGTGGAGCTTCTGCAACAGGCACTTAATGAACAATCCAGTCGAATTTTGAACGGTTCTAACTCGTTCGTAAATCGGTGATTGTGTCCAAATCTCTTGTCAACTTTGTTCGGTGACGTTTAAAACTCAGTCTCGGTCGCTAGTTCATCGCTCTCTCATACATCATGTACTGTTTTTTTTTTCGTTTTTTGTCTTTCCTTTCTTTTGTACATTCGAATTTTGCTCGAAAAAAGTCTATTAAAAATTGATTTGTTTTTTTTCACCTTCAGTTGAAATGGCCTAGGAGAGCGTGCATAAAGTTCAAAATACTGTCATTTTTTAGTCAGCATCTCGAGATGGAAAGAAATCAGAAGTTACAAGATTGTTATCGTTTCATTTTCTTTCTTCAATCGCACGCGTGAGTGGGCGTTTGGTTTTTCTAGAGGAATGAGATGGTCAACGTTTGCCTGAAAAACGGGTTGGTTGTCCGAGCTTGTTGGAGTCCTGAAAGTCAATACATTCTTGAGAGACCACCCCGAAGCATTTTATCTTAAGAGTTGTTCTTTCTAGATCAGGCAAGTGTATTTCTCAAATGCAGTTTTGTCTCTGTCTCAAACAATCGTATGTCAACCTTCATTAAGGGATAACTCAGGATAGTTCTTTTTGATTTGTGCAGAACGACCCCTCTGTTCAACCAGTCATTTCACTCTTTAGGAACAAGCTCGATACTGCTATGTTCTGGGACCTAAATGTAGAGTGCTTGCATCAAACGTTTATAGTTGAACTCCGCGAGCCCTCAGACCATTTAATGATTCACCCCACTAGTCACTCGGTGTTGGATAACGGTACGTTTCATTCTCCCTCAAAACAACACCAAAGGTCTGCATATCCTCTCACCGGAGAGCCTCCTTTCCCGCGAGGGGAAATCAATAAAGAGCCGGGAAATATTCACTTTGTATAAGCAAAATTTCATGCTACTTTATGTGATACTCTCTGCAATAGCGTTTTGCCATTTAAAATGCAATATAGCAAGTTACTGTTATTGCTGAAGGTGCCAATGGTCCTAGTGAATTGCATCTAAATCAGTTAAACATTAACCGAAGCAGTCGACCGTAGTAGCCTCACTGGCGGTCCAAAGAACATACAGGTTAACTTCCACACAAAGAATCATGTTATCCCAAAGATACAGAGTGGTTTTGATCTGATGACTGTCAGTGACGAGCAACTTTCGACATAGTGTTTTCCTTGTTTGAAGATTGTTTAATGTACACCGTATTTCACGGCCCCTACATTGAAATGGTAAAACTTACATTGTATTCATGTGTTATAAACTATCCCAGGTATTCAGTACTCTATCTTCGCAGTTAGAATACTGGCACAGAATTGTTAACCTAAATAGTCGTCATCGATATCCCTCTCGACGTTTCCACCAACTAGCTGAACTCAACTAAGGACCACAAAGCAAGGAAATCGGTCACGAAATTGGATTCTCTTATGACAACGAAACCAACGTCAATTAGGGTTTGATAATTGGATAATTCATCCCGTATGCTTCATCCGTCAGTTGACAATACAGATGTGCCGTGTTCTAACGAGTAGTTTTGTCCGCATTATCGCGATGAGGTCTAACCGATCTGACATTATAGTGTATCAGCCGGTTAAAGTGATCGTCGGCAAGCAATCCTGAGTCGATGGCGTTGGTCTCTCCAGGACCCGATTGTGTAACTCGAGTTTTTATCAGCTACTTATGAGTAACCCGCTTTAACCACATCTTTCCATTCAGCATCCGCATTCTTGCCACAGCTCAAACCGACCGCAAGCATCGCCTACGTGTTTTGTCTCGCTCTTCCATCCCACGTCCAAAGTTTGCTTACGCAAATTCATCCTGTCTACTCTCATTGTTGTAGTATTTTTACCTAAACTAGTGTTAAAGCCCTTCGCATGTTCATTTGTGTATCTTGATTTCGCTGGTCACTAACCGACATCCACCAACTAGGTGCAGTAAGGGGTTCGAACCCGTTCTGGCGAAGTCCCCTGCCTTCTGGGCATCAGCGCATCAAATCGCAGCACCACTGCGACCTGGTAGCCGTCCCTTGACGACCTGTTTGGTCCTCAGTTTAATACCAGTCCATCCTTCCTACTTATAATTGTCCGCTCAACTCAAACTCTTACGTTACCGATACACGTGCTCGCGTCCAGTCAACAGATTATCTACATTTTTTCATTTTTTCGCTGCCGATCTAATGGTCGTTTTCTGAAACAGTAAATTCCCAGCCCTTTTGCGGTCTGTAATTTCTCCAACTGCTTCCCTACCGACTAATTCGTTTATATCATTCCCTCACTCCAACTGTATGTTGTTATGCTCTCAATGATCAAATTTTGTCGTTTTTGTCCTTGATTCTCCAACTGCTTCCCTACCGACTAATTCGTTTATATCATTCCCTCACTCCAACTGTATGTTGTTATGCTCTCAATGATCAAATTTTGTCGTTTCCTTACTGTCCTTGATTCGCTCTTTCAATGCTAGAATTAGTTGTGCGTTGACGTTATTGACACAGGGACGCGTGAACTCAGAAGCACAGCTATTATCGTCACCCTCGTATCCTACAAATGACAGGATATTTTTCTGCATTCGCAGAGTGAATCGTCAGAAACTATCTGCTTTTCTATTTTGAGGGCCCGGGAGTATTCTTGTTAAACAGTTACCACGAACGAAAAAGCTTTCATGACGCTGAAGTCAGTTTCCACAACTGGGATTCTTCCTGGCACAGATGAACGAAATAGGATGACTGGGAAAACAGGTGCATCTGCTGGGTGTCTTAGGCACACTTCACGCATACGGGTAAACACTTCATTACGTGTTGAAATTCAAAGCGGTTCTATCAGGTCAACCAAATATTGGATTTTACTCAATTAGTTTGTCATTCTGCCCAACCTAATTGCTGATTTTGGGTTACCTGTAGTCAACGGTGATGAAATTGGTCAAAAAGGAGTGATATGTATTTGTAATGCACTACTCATAAGGTTGCTGAAAATTCGTCAACAGCCTACGAAACACCACAAACGAGTGATTCGGCTGGGTTCCAGGTGAGCCTCTCGAAAAATCAAATTAGTTTGCAAATGAGTGTATTTCTC